TATCATGTTATGAATATTGATTATCTAAGCTAATTCTTAATTGCAATACCAATTTAGACAGCGAATAACATGTGACATTTGGAAACACCCTGATCCTTTCAGTGTGCTTTTGCTTACATCATTTATTAGGTAATCAACATTTTATAAATCACTTTATTCACATCAAAAACTTTGAAATAATTTAATGTATGCTAAATGATGGCTTATTAAACTATGAGTTTTTAAACTAGTAGATTGAAAGTACTGAAATCTCAAAAAAAAATTTGAAGTTTTGAATTTGTACAATTTAATTGGATCTGAAATAAAATATTTGATGTACCTAAAATTTATGAAAATTAAAAATTGTTAAAAACATTTCTGAATTTTGCAATTTAAAACTCATAAATAAAAACATTAGAGATTTTTATTAATATTAGAGCTATTTTTATTGTTTATCTACATTTATTTTACAGTTTTAATCAAATTTATTTTAATTTCGATATACCGAGACGGTAGGAGCAACATAATACAGATCATATACATTATCAATTATATATGAGTAATTTGAGCATGTTTAATTTTGTTGAATATAATTAATTTGATGATCATGATATGATTGTTTGTCTTGATCTCCTAATCGTACATTATATGAATCATTGGTGAGCATATTGTAATTATATTGAACTTTCATGACGTTATCACTATTATTGATCTCATGAGATTTATCTACATATGAAAAACTTTTAAATGTATTCATAATCATGCATATATGCTATATATTAGTCATTAAATTAAAACATTAAATAAATAGATAATTCATCATAAAAATCTTTCATCAAATAATAGATTTCTTATATAATTTTACTTTTTTTTCCCCCCCATTAAGAATTAATTAAATTTGAAACTTGATCAAGTCCAAATCTTTTATTCATATCAACAGTTAAACATCCTAAAACTGCTTCATACATTGCATCATCACCATCACATGCCTTTAAAAGACATTCTGTATCATATTTCCCCGCTGAAATCATTGCTCTTAATCTTGGTTCAAATGAATGTTGAAATGGTAATTTACCTGTAATCATTGTATATAATAATATACCAAAAGCCCAAACATCAGCTGAAGGACCTAATGGTGGTGGTTGAGCTTCTAAAAGTTCTGGTGCTGCATAAGGTAAAGAACCAATATGAGAATGTGGGATATTTGAATCATTATTATTTTTAGAATTATATTCAAATGGTTCAGGTTGTATAGGTTTTTCTAAATGATGTTGTTGAATTGAATTTTGAATATTATTATTATTTGAAGGTTTTGATAATAAATCATCAGTACTTTTATGTGTATCATTTGAAGAAGTTTCAGAATATAATTTAGTTAAAGATTTTGGTTTAAAAAAATTATCATTACCTGAATAAGATCTTGGAATTGAAGGACGTCTAATTTTATTACCACTACCAGGAATTGGAATTTCATTTAAATCAACAGGTGTTTTAAATCTTAAACTCATACCAAAATCACATAACCAAATTTTTGTTGAATTTTTTTCCACAATTAAACAATTTTCTAATTTAACATCACCATGAACAATACCTTTAAAATGCATATGTTGTAAACCTAAAAGTAAACCTTTACAATATTGTCGTATTTTAATTAATCTTTCATTAGTTTCAATAATTTTTGATGGGGAAGTGCCCCAATTTGAAACAATTTCAAATAATGTACCACCATAAGCTCTTTCAGTAAGACAAAATATTGCAACATTAGTTTCTTTAACGTTAATTAATTTTAAAATATTTTCATGATTTAATTGATTCCAAATATTTGTTTCTCTTCTGAAAAATTCTTTTGCACCTTCATTTTTAACTCGAACAATTTTCATAGCTCTTTGAATTCCATCAAATCCTAAACATTCTCTTATAATACCCCAAGCACCAAATCCAATAATACTACCTAATTTATGATCCAATATGATATTATCATCTTGTTTATTGGAACGTTCACTAAAACTTGATAAAAATTGAGCAGCAGGAGAAGATTTTGGTTTTTTTTTAAATTTTTTTTTAATAATTTTATTTAAAGCTTCTAAATTTCCATTTGGTGATAAATCAGCTAATAATTTTCTTCTTACACTAAATGGTAAATCAGTAAAATCTTGAGGTAATTTAGATATAACAGATTCTTCATCATTTGTTAAAGATTGATCATCATCATTACTTGATGTTTTGAAATTTGTGGAAATATTTGAAGGTCTTGGAACTGAAACAGGACTAACTTGTGAATGTAATTGACCAACTGGAGTTAAAGGTCTTGATATATATGAGGATGGAACACTATCAGTTAATGAAGAATCATAAGAATTATTATCACCATGTCCATAATAAGAATGAGTCCATTGTTGAATAGTATTACTAAAATCAAAATCTGGAATATATTCATCTTCAAGACCAGATTTATTTGAAGTATAATCATTTGAATTTGAATTTGATATTGATACTGATGATGATACTGAAGTTGAATGATAAAAATTCGAAAAAGATCTTAAAGAAGAACTTTGAGGTAAATCAGGTACTAATTCAGTTTGTTGATCATAGTAATCAGTAGTTCTATGAGGTCTATGTTTTTGATCATTGTAAATTCTTCTACCATTAATTTGACTAAAATTTGAAGTTTCATTTTCTGAAAAAATTCTATTCAGATAAGGATTATTATTATTGTTGTTGCTATTATTGTTATTATTATTTTCAATATTTTGTAATTGACCATAAGGTTTTGATTTTTTCAATTTAAAAGGATTATTTGGAGAACTTGGAATTCGATTTCTTAAATTTGATCTTGAAATTGAACCTTTTGGAGTGAAACTAGAGTTTTGTAATAAGATATTTGATCTATTTGATTCAATTTCATCATTTTGAATTTGTTGATAAAAACTTTGAGCTAACTGAGGTGTGGAGAAATCTTCAGGCAGATATTCATCATTTAAATCAAAACTAGGTGGAACGTATCTTCTTGAGAGTCCTTTTTTGATCTTTTGAGGAGTGGCTATGTTTGTCATAGCTTGTCAATTGTGAATATTGACGTGATTGGAATGAATTGAGTTGATATTGATATTGATATTGAAATTTGATTAATCTTATTATATCACCTGATTGTCTATTGATATATGATTATTTGACACAGAAAGAGAAAGAGAGTAGCAGTAGCAGCAGCAGCACAACTTGTATATATATATTCACACTTTATCAACTCATCACAGGTTTCAAACCCACTCTCTAAACAGAAAATACCAGTGATCAGACCCTTTAAAATAAGTGTTTTGTTTGATTATCTGTTTATGGTGTTTTGCCATTTTAGATTTTTTTAATATTTATGAGATCCGAGGTATTATATTTTTTATCAGCTGACCGGTCACCTGATACCCTCGTAACTCAATTTCACAAGCTTAAAAATTTCAACCAATTGCAATTTTGCAAAAACCAATTTTCACGATTTCATAGGAAGGAAAAAAAACCAGTTGAATTGATTTGAAAACTATTGAATCAATACACAGTTTGTTTCTTTCAACAACACTTCAATAAACTAATAATCAATCAATATGGGAGGTGCACCACATCCAAAAGCTTACATGGGCTGGTGGGGTTCTTTAGGTTCCCCAGCTCAAAAAGGTATCACTACTTATGCTGTTTCTCCATTTGCTCAAAATGTTTTAAAAGGTGTCGCTCATAATGCTATCTTTAACGTTTTCAGAAGAGCTAAAAATCAAATTTTCTTTATTGTTGCTCCAGGTATTATCATTTGGGAATGGTGGGCTCAAGCTAGAGATTATAATGAATATTTATATACTAAAGCTGGTAGAGAAGAATTAGAAAGAGTTAATGTTTAAGATATTATTATCTTTTTATATTTGTACATACAATACATTATCATATTCATTAATTTTTTATTATTTTGCATAAAGTTCTTTAAAGACAAGAAAAACACACATATCAAAAGCTGGATCTGTTTGAGCTAATATATTATACGTATATATATATTATTGTTAATTTGAGTTCAAACGGGTTCTCGGTTCAAATGGGTTCTATTATGATTTATTCAATTAAAACAATACAAATTTTAAATTAAAATATAATATAAAAGTTTATTAATTTTGACATTGTGTAAATGTAGATGATTATATGTAATTGTAAAGATTTATATGTAAATGTAATTTTATATTAATATATTAACTTTTTGGAATATAGCTATACAATCTATTTTGAACGTTTATAAACTTTATTTAAAAATTCAGTTAAAACTGAACCTTTAAAACCTCTTGATTCATCAATTTGGGAAATTTTTTCTCTTAATTCATTTGCAATTTTTTCTTCATAATCTAAATAAATTTTATCAATACCTAATTCATTAAATAAATTTTTAACTCTTAATTCAGCTTCTGAATTCTTTAAACCATAATTTTCATCCAAAATCTTTCTTTGTTCAGGATTAACTAATTTTAATGCAGTATTAATAACCCAACTACATTTATTATCTTGAATATCTGTACCAATTTTACCAATATCTTCAGGTTTACCAAAACAATCTAAATAATCATCTTGAATTTGGAAATATTCACCTAATGGAATTAAAACATCACTAGCTTGTTTTAAATCTTTTTCATCATTAATACCTGCTGCATACATAGCTAATGCAACTGGTAAATAAAATGAATAATAAGCAGTTTTAAAAATAACAATAAATGAATGTTTTTCTAATGAAAATTTAGATAAATCAACATGATCTTCTGGTGCAGTAATTAAATCTAATAATTGACCTAATTCAGTTTGGAATGTAACATCATGAAATAATTCTAATAAATCAACATAATATGATTCTTTCTTGAAATGTTTCTTTAATAAAACATAAATTGCAGCTTCAAGCATAAATGCATCATTAATAGCAATTTCTGCAACACCTTCTTTTCTATACCAACATGGTTGACCTCTTCTTGTAATTGATTTATCCATCATATCATCAGCTACTAAGAAATAAGCTTGTAATAATTCAATACACCAACCCAAAATGGCAATTTTTTTATATTCCTCCACAGATAAATCATCAATGGATTTAAAACCTTTAAGAATAACATAAGTATCAACAACTGAAATACCTCTATTTAATTTCCCACCTGGTGTATTATAATTTAAACTATCTCTATACCATTCAATAGCTTCTTCTCTAATTCCATAACCTTTTAATACATCAAGTAATTCTTCAACCAATTCTGGGAAGACACCGACAAACTTGTCCTTCTTATGAGCTTTATCAGACATTGCAATTGATCTTAAATCTTATTGACCTTAATTCACCTTCTTTATTTATCATTTAAATCAAATTCTCGTCAATTTTTCTTATACGAGTTTACACGAGATTCCAAAAATCAAAACACGACCGGGTAAAAAAAAATCAAAAATATCAAAATTCTGATTACATAATAAATTTTCAGTATCGGTAAACACACGCAGCTCATCTCAGAAAAATTTTAAGTATATTTATATTATGGGTATTAATCGAAATATTATAAGTGGAGTGCAATAATTACTAGGACTCAAGAAATCAAGTTATAATGGCCAAGAATAACGCTAAAAAAAATTTCAAAGGTGCTAAAGGTGCCAATGCTCCAAAAGGTTCAAACCCAGAATCTGTTAAACCAGTTGTTGTTAGTCAAAAAGATTTAGATGAACCTGTAAAGAATCCAATTAAAGATCAAAAAAAATCAAAATCTATTAAACCTGTTAAACAAACTACTTCAGTTAAAAAAGATGAAGAATATCAAAGTGGTGCTTTATCTAAGAAAGAACAAAGATTGTTGAAAAAAGCTGCTGCTAAAGTTGAAGTTCAAACTGGTGATGATGATGAAGATGAAGAAGAATCAGATGAAGAAAATTCTATTGAAATTGCAGAAGATACTGATTCAGAAATGGAAGAATATTTGTTAGATCTCGAAAAATTAGCTAGAAGTGATAGTGAATCTGATGATGAATCTGATGATGAAGAAGAAGATGAAGATGAAGAAAAAGAAGATAACAAAGAAGAATCTAAAGATGATGAAGATGATGAAGATGAAGAAGATGAAGATGAAGATGAAGAAGACGAAGATGAAGAAGATATCCCATTATCAGACGTTGAAGTTGATTCAGATGCCGATATCGTCCCACATTCAAAATTAACCATAAATAACGTTGGTGCTTTGAAAAATGCATTAACTCGTATTCAATTACCATGGGAAAAACATTCATTCCAACAACATCAAAGTCTTACTTCAAAAGAAAACGTTGAACCACAAATCAAAGATATATACGATGATACTGAACGTGAAGTTGCTTTTTATAAACAAGCTTTAAGTACAGCTTTAGAAGGTCGTTCAAAATTATTAAAATTAAAAATTCCATTTTCAAGACCTTTAGATTATTTTGCTGAAATGATTAAATCTGATGAACATATGGATAGATTAAAATCAAAATTAGTTAAAGAAGCTTCTGAGAAGAAAGCTTCAGTTGAAGCAAGAAGACAAAGAGAATTGAAAAAATTTGGTAAACAAGTTCAAAATGCAACTTTACAAGAACGTCAAAAACAAAAAAGAGAAACTCTTGATAAAATTAAAGGTTTGAAAAGAAAAAGACAAGATAATGAAATTAGTACAAATGATTTTAATGTTGCTATCGAAGAAGCTACTGCTGATAAAGATGAACGTAAAGAAAGAAATAAAAGAACAAAACCAAATGCTAAAAGAGCTGCAAAAGATCAAAAATACGGTTCTGGTGGTATGAAAAGATTTAAAAGAAAAAATGATGCTGAATCAAGTGCTGATATGCGTGATTTCTCTCAACGTAAAATGAAAGGTAAAGCAAGTCGTCCAGGTAAAAGTAAACGTAATAGAAAATAATTTGCATAGTAATTTAAAGAAGCATTTAAAGTTTTTTGTTTCACTTGTATAATAAATAAAAGAGCTATAATATCATGATCCTAATTTTTTCCCCCGATATAATACAGTATTTATTACAAATCTATATAAGAATGCCTAATTCTTTTAATTGATCAACAAGTTCTTTATCAATATATTTACCTAAACTTGGTTCACCAGTAAGACCTTTTCTTTTTCTTGTCTTCATAACAAAATCTCTTGATAAACCATTTATATGTGCAGGTCTTAATTTTGGTATAAATAAATCTTTATCTAATGGATCACCTGGTACAACGGACCATTTATCAAAATATAATGAAACTAAAGCTTGGCCTTGAGTAATAACTCTAATATCAGTTTCCAATCCAACAGAATCAATAACTGGTACTAATCCATGAATTTTATATAATTGAGTTGCACCAATTGGTGAATCTTTCAAAACTAATCCACGTCTTTTATCTAATAAATTTTCAATAATTTGAACAGTTTGTGATGTTGAAATAATTTCAATTGCATATAAAGGTTCCATTATTCTTGGAGTTGCAGTCATTATTGATGCATAACATGCTTTTCTAACCATAGGAATAATTTGTCCATTAACTCTTTGTAATGAATCTTTTGCTAATTTTATATCAATTATTTTAAATTTAACATTTCTAATTGCACTATCAGTTAATGGACCTTCACGAACTGCCCATTGGAAACCTTGAATTATTGAATTTTTAACACTTTGTAATAAATCTTTATCAACTTCATCTGATAATGTATCATCTAAAAGAGCATTTGGACCATTTGATTCTGGGCCAAAAGTCCATAATGATCTTGCAGCTAATGAATCCCAATCATAAACTTCACGTAATATTTTATTTAAACGTTTAACATTTTGAAATTTATTATTTTCCACATCAATAGCTAATTTGTCTTCTAATGGTTCTGCAATTATTGTTATTTCATTTTGAGAATTTTGTGATTTAATTGAAACTTTTGTTAAACTATTTTCCACAACAGTTTCTGAAAATTTTGTAATTGGATCTGAAACTTTAATATTAATTTCAGTTATTTTTCTTAAATCATGTAATAAACAATCTAAATATAATTCACCTGAGCCAAATATAACATGTTCCCCACTATCTTCAACTTTTAATTCCACACCACAATAATATTTATTAATTTTTCTAAGACCATCCAACATTTTAGGTAATTCAGATGGAACCTGTGGAGCAACAACAACTTGGAAAACCGCTTTATTTAAATAATCAATTGGTTTCAAAGTATAAACATCTTCTTTAATATCATTACCTACTATTGTACAAGCTTTTGAACTTAATTCCACACCTTTAATCAATACAATGGATCCAGCTGGTGCTGATTCAATAGGTATTTTATATCTACCACATCCTAACCATAATTCATCAATTTCTAATACTTGAACATCTTCATCATCATCATTATATTGTTGACCTAAAATTTTAACTTTATCATTTTTATTAATTGTACCTGATATGATTCTAACTAATGCAATTGTATCTTCTATAATTTTACCAACTTGTGCAACTAATGGTCCTTCACTTGATGCTAATAATATTTCATCTTTTAATTTCCCGTTAGGACCAGAATATGTATTAGTTTTAGAATGTTCAATTGGTGAATTCAAATTTTCAATCATATCAACAAACCCAAAAGCACCACCGAAAATTGTTTTAAAAGTTTCTTTTAATAATGTTTGAGGATCAGATCTCAAAAATAGTTTTGGTAATCCAACATTAAAATCTTGATATAAAGTTTTTTGTAACAATTCTGGTTCTTCTGTTAGGACTTGAGTTATTATTTTATATAAAGGTTCTAAGATAAAACTTATAAAACTTCTTTTAGATCCTTTAGAAGAAAATTTTCTTGTTTCTTCATTATAATAAATATCACCCCATAATCTTTTAGCAAATAATACAGGGTCAACAGGTAATCCTAATCTTTCAACATAAAGAGTGGCAAATGATTTTAATGTAAATGAAAAATTCAAATCTGAAGATGCAAATGTAATGTTATTTAAATCTGGAGAGAAAATTTTATCATGATTATAATTATCACCAAATGAATTTTCTTGTATATATGTATTAATTTCATCAATGACATTTCTTAATTTATGATAAGAATCTTGTAAAGGTAATTTTAATTCTAATATCAATCTATCAATTTTGTTAATAACAAAAGCTAATTGAACATTATTATTTAAAGCATTATCAATAGCTTTTCTTGCTCCAACAGTTAATCTCTCAACAGCATCAACAATAACAACAGAGATATCTGTAAGTCTTTGTGCCACTGAAACTTCATCCAAGAAGTTTACATGACCTGGTGTATCTATTATATTTAAAACTAAGGAACTGCTTTTCAAATTTGGTAATAATAAAGTCATTGGAGATAGTTTTATAGTTAAACCTCTTTCAATTTCTAAAGTTTCATTATCAGTATAACGAAGTTTCTTATAATTTTTTTGATTCTTGGATATTTTTTTCAATTCATGAGATTGTAATATTAATGTATCTAAAAAACTTGTTTTACCAGATTTTAAACTCCCCACAAATGATACGTTCCTTACTTTGGAAGGTAATTTAAGTAGCTCTATTAAATATTCTTTGGAATATTTGGTTTTAGGTAAACGAGATTCTTCAATTTTGTGTTTTTTCTCAATGTTTGGTTTAATTAATGGTTCTTCAATTGTTTGATTATCTGTTGTTTGAATTATAGTTTCCACATCATTTCCAAACGTTTCACTCATGGTGGAGTAATACACTTTATCTTCTTGTAATATCACTTGGTTCTCCTTATTACCGTCACCTTCAGGAGCATCTTCATCGTCACTATCCATTTCTTGATCAGAATCATGTTGGAAAGGCTCACCAGAACCCACAGAGCTTATAGATTCGTCATCCGAGTCCACTGAATCACCAATTAGGTTCCCAAATCTAAATCAACTAGTTAGTACAGACCTCTAAGAGAGACAGAAAAGATCAAGACATACTCATCATAGCGGTCTTCATCCATTGTGTTTAGCTGCTGTTTGTTCCTAGTTCTTCCTGGTTAACGATTTGTCTTTGTTTACGCTTTTAATTTTCAAATTCTTTTCACGGAAATTAGCCACTAATCGCACTAGCCACGGATACACTAGCCACAATTTAACAAACTATCAGAGCATGAATTTTATCAGCTTTGAAAAAAAGTAGAATATTGAAAAGCAATAGATTGGTATTTTACTGAGTAAGAGTACGCTATAGCCTATCAGTATACCTATTTCATTAGGTTGGTTCCAAGTTCCTGTTAAGCCCATCGGTTAGACAGCCCTGGGCTCTGGCGGTGCTTTGAGATTCATTCAGGCACAAAAATTGAGACATTCTAGCGAGAGTCAAAACACTAAAGTTCATAAGTATCTATAAGAGGAATCACAACATCTATCAAGGGAAGTTGCCAGGTCTTTGATCATCCAGATATCCTCACCAGAAAAAAAATCGAGTAGGCAGTCTTCTTCATGTCTCCCCCAGTGGAACCAGAGCAAAATGAGGCATCATATACCCACAGACTGATCCATCATATATCTGAAGCGATTGAAAATGATATGATTGATCATGATGTTCAAGTGGAAAAATTCAAATATGAACAAGAATTAAATAAAAATTTAACAATCACTACTGTTATTGGGTTGGGTTTTGGTTTAATGAGTGCACCTTTAAGTTTAGGTACAACTATGAATATTGGATTAATTGATGGTGGGCCGGCTACAATTATTGGTGGTTATTTAATTGTCTATATATTTTCCATCCTATGTTCATTATCCCTTGGTGAAATCACTTCAAAATACCCTATTGAATTACATGGTGGTGCCGCTATAATTGCTAAACCAAAATATAGTCTAATTTGTTCATGGTTCACAGGATTTTTCTTATTGATTGGTAATTGGACCATGAGTACAAGTATTACATTTGCTGGTGCTCAATTCATGTTATCAGTTATTGGTATTGTGGATTCAGATTATGAAACTGATGCTGTTCTAACTGTGGTTGTTTTTTATATCGTTGTTACAATTTGTGGATTAATAAATTTAAAATTTTCACGTCATTTAGAATTAATTAATAAAATTTGTGTCTATTGGATCATTTATGCAATTTTATTCATTGATATCTTATTATTATTATTTTCTCCACGTTATCATAGTCTGAAATATATTTTCACATTTTTTGATAATACAAGATCAGGTTGGCCAGCTCCAATGGCTTTCATTATTGGATTCCAACAAGCAAGTTTCACATTACAAGGTTTCGGTTTATTACCAGCTGTTAGTGAAGAAGTTAAAGATGCTGAAAGAACTGTTCCAAAAGGTATGACCTTAGCTGTATTATTAGCTGGTGGTGCTGGGTTCATATTCTTAATCCCAATTTTAGCAGTTTTACCAGAAATTTCATTACTAGTTGATCAAAATCAAAGTATTATGCCAATTGTATTAATTTTCAAATTAGCTACTAATTCAGTTGTTGTTTCATTTTTCTTAGTTATTATGATTATGGGTAACTTATTATTTTCAGGTATTGGATCAATTCAAACTTCATCAAGAGCTGTTTATAGTATGAGTCGTGATGGTGCTTTACCTTATGGTGATTTTTGGACTTATGTTCATTCAGAATCTGTTTTAAAAGTTCCTAAAAATTCAATTTATTTATCAATGGCTGTTTCTTATTTACTTGGGTTACTTTCATTAGTTTCTACCGCGGCTTTTAATGCATTTATTGGTGCAGCTGTTATATCATTATGTGCAGCTTCATTAATTCCAATAACAAGTTTAGTTCTTGGTGGTAGGAAAAAAGTTAGAGGTGCAGCTTTTAAATTAAAATATGTTGGTTTCATTATAAATATCATTAGTATGTGTTGGTTATTATTTACAATATTTGTCTTGAGTTTACCCCCACAATTACCAATAACAGGTTCAAGTATGAATTATGCATCTGTTGTTTTCATATTATTTGTAATATTAGCTTCATTATTATGGGTTGTTTGGGGTAAAAAGAATTTCCATGGTCCATTAGTTGATAATGATAATAATGAAAGAGTTGATGCTGTTCAATTACAAGATGTTGATCCTCAAGGTTCATATAGGAAACTTGATGAACAAAAATTTGAAAAATTAGATTCTGAAAGCTTAGATAGAGAAGCTGCAGCTGAAGGAAATTCAACACTGAATACATCTACAAATATATCAGATGAACAATCAAAACAATCTCAATAATATGAATTTTCATGATCACAATACGTTACATTTTTTTTTCTTTTTTCATCTTTCTTCTTGTTAAATAAATATATATATACATCAATCTAGAGTTTATACCCACATCCCATTTGTTTGTTTATGAATAAATAAAAGTTATTTGTTTTCCGTTTAATCAAATATTAAAAAAATCATCACTATTATGAATGACCTGAAATGAAAGTACCAGCGAATTTTTTCTGCATATATTCACCAGAAGTCATATAATCATTTTCATTTTGAAAATTAGATGGATTGTTAGAATTTGGTATTAAAGGACTTGGAATTGGAGTTAAACGAGTTGAAGATTCAGCATCAAAGAAAAATGCTATAGAATATCTATCATTCCCATTAATTGGTAATTTAACTCTATGTAATGTAGATTTTAGTACACCAGAAGTCCAAAATGATAATTGATCTGCAATATTAACAATTATAGGAGCAGCTTTACCTAATTTAATATAATTTTCATTAGGTGAAGGTATAAATGGAACTGGTTCCCATCCATTTTCTTTTGAAGTGTGAATTTCTAAACCTTCTTGATTTTGTTGTTGTAATAATAATGTTATTGAACCATAATCAGTATGCGCACCTGCTCTAATTGCAGTTTCTGCATCTAATTTAGATAAAGGTGGATAATGAAGCATTCTCATTGCTGAGGTTGATTTTCCAATTGGTGGATGTCTTTTAGTGAACCAATCTTTACCACCATCTTGTTCATCAATTTGTAAACCAATAGCTAAAAGTTCTAAAATTCTTGTAGCTAGCTTATATTGTTTTTTAATTATTGATTGAATGAATTTATAGTTATCATTGGATTGGAAAATATTTGGTAATTGATCTTTATTACAATCACCTGTCAAGAAATTGAAAGAACCAAAATTAAAAGCTTCTTTTGGATCACCATTCTTATTAGAATTTGGATCTAGACTTTCTTGATTAAATGAAGTATAACCACAATCTTGTTTATCAATAGCAACTTTTTGTTTCTTTTCCAATGGGATATCAAAGAATTCAGCACTTAACTTAAACAATTGATCAACTTCATCCTGAGTGAAATCATGTCCATCAACAAATAGGAAACCTTGTTCACTAAACCCTTGGAGCACATCATCAGCAGTGGATTGATCCAAAGAGGATACATCCACAACTTTCAATGGATTACTAGCAGCTCGGGCCATTTTGAAGATTACCTTTGAAAAACTGAATAATACAAGCCAAGTCCAATAAGATCACCAGGCTCTTCAACTTCCCAACGTCTTATCAACATGTCATCAAAAGTGCGAATTACCTACATGATAAATGATAAATGACAATCAAACAATGGAACAACGTAATACCAAACTACACAAACAGTCATACTTGTACCAGCTGAAATAACCCACCATTTCTCTTAGATTCCAATCCACAAACAACAAAATCTCATTTGCTCTTAAATAATTTCAGAATGTGCTGATAATTTAATACGTATATGTGTAATTCTGAGAACACTTCACCATAGGTAACATGCATCACCAAGTGTAAATAACAGCACAGAACCCGCGAAAAGTGTCCAATTTCCAAAATTCTTCGAGAAGGGGGCGCCAGATTGGAAAATATCGAAAAACAAATTGAATAAACCTAACACGAAATCACCTTAGATCTAGTTTATATACATATCAAAACATATATTAAAACAAGATGTCTCACGAAGGAGAAGAAGAATTATTGGAATACTCTGAACCAGAAGATAACATTGTCCAAGAATCCACCACTGCTGAAGCTAAGGATGGTGAAGACAAGAAAGGTTCATATGTTGGTATCCATTCAACAGGTTTTAAAGATTTCTTATTAAAACCAGAATTATCAAGAGCTATTGTTGATTGTGGTTTCGAACATCCATCAGAAGGTTAGTTATTTTACAAGTTTTTGCCTTCTCTTTGAATTATAAAGATATCTATTATAAATTATGAGATTTATCAATCAAAAAAATTTCATATAACAAAATTGAAGGGTCTATTGGAAGGTCTGTTTTCAATGAATTACATTAATATTTGAATGCAATCCAAACTTTGAGATTTCATCATTCCATATTTTTGATCAAATTTTGGTTATCAATTGGTCCCTTTTTCTTTGTTATTCCATGTCATAATTGTGATGCTGTCTCCTTATGCATCACGCGTTTGAATGAAAATTTTCCAATTATAGTTGGTTGATTAGATATCCATTTTTCCAGATTTATTATAAACAATTATATTGTTCCCTGATACCCCTCATCTTTCCAGATTGAAGTCATTATGATAATTATAGCTATTTTCATAATATTCACTCATGCTACATATATAATGAATGATCCCACAAAAAGATCTTATCAAAAAAAATTATCAAAAATGATGTCTTTATAATATCAAGAGAAGTGCAACAGAATTTATCACTCAATGTAAAAACAACAGTTTTATTAACATTATTATAATAGTTCAACAAGTTTGTATCCCACAATCTATTCATGGTACTGATGTTTTATGTCAAGCCAAATCAGGTTTAGGTAAAACTGCTGTTTTCGTTTTATCAACTTTACAACAATTAGACCCAGTTCCAGGTGAAGTTTCCACTTTAGTTATCTGTCATACTAGAGAATTAGCTTATCAAATTCGTAATGAATACTTAAGATTCTCTAAATATATGCCAGATGTTAAAACTGCAGTTTTCTATGGTGGTACTGATATTAAAAAAGATGCTGAATTATTGAAAAATAAAGATACTGCTCCACATATTGTTGTTGGTACTCCAGGTCGTTTGAACGCTTTATTAAGAGAAAAATATATTCGTTTAAATAATTTGAAAAATTTCGTTATTGATGAATGTGATAAAGTTTTAGAAGCTGTTGATATGAGAAGAGATGTTCAAGAAATTTTCAGAGCAACTCCTCATGAAAAACAAGTTATGTTCTTTTCAGCTACTTTATCTCAAGAAATTAGACCAATTTGTAAAAAATTCTTACAAAATCCATTAGAAATTTATGTTGATGATGAAGCTAAATTAACTTTACATGGTTTACAACAATTCTACATCAAATTAGCTGAACGTGAAAAAAATCGTCGTTTAGCTGATTTATTAGATTCATTAGAATTCAATCAAGTAATTATTTTCGTTAAATCAACTGCAAGAGCTGATGAATTAAATAGAATTTTAACTGCTTCAAATTTCCCATCTATTGCAGTTCATTCAGGTATCCCACAAGAAGAAAGAATTGCTAGATATAAATCATTCAAAGATTTCAACAAGAGAATCTGTGTTTCAACTGATGTTTTCGGTAGAGGTATTGATATTGAAAGAATTAATTTAGCTATTAATTATGATTTACCAAATGAAGCTGATCAATACTTACATAGAGTTGGTAGAGCTGGTAGATTCGGTACCAAAGGTTTAGCTGTTTCATTTGTTTCAACTGAAGAAGATGAAACTGTCTTGGGTAAAATTCAAGAAAGATTTGATGTTAAAATTGCTGAATTCCCAGAAGGTGGTGTTGATCCATCAACTTATATGAATACTTAGATTAAATCTAGATTAAATCTAATGGTGAAGTTTTTATTTTGATTCTATATTTCCGACGTTGTTGATAAGGATAAGTTATTTTTTTGTATATGTCCTTATATCAGATGTTGAATAAAAAATGTATTTGTTATTAATTGTTGATGAAGAAAATTGAATTGTAGGTTAGTCTCTGGATTTATGGTCTTGATAAAAAATCAATCAACATATAATGCGAAATATATTCCTGTCTCATCTTTCTGAATAATTATGACCATACTATAAAGCATTGAAAACAAAGAAGTATTAGGATATATAGAGTTGACGGTTATATCAAATGTCAAATTCGCGGATATGTAGGATTGATACTGAGGTTTTTTGTACTCATGAGCTCTAGTATATTTTCAGCTGCTGCAATTATTTAATATCAGACCACAAACAAAACTTGCTCACCAGCTAAATGATAGTTCTCACTAGGTAACAGTTAATTCGTGATACAACGGACCTACAATCTGCATCGGATTCAATGTGCAATTGGGGATCATTGAAGTCAAATCCTGAAGATCAAAACTTTAATTTATCAAAGATAGTAAAAAGCTCTCGACGTTTGAAGGGCTGTACACATAGACAATCACTATAGTCATATACTCTAGAACCAATGGTTTCAGTTACAAAATTTGAGATGGACATGAGGGAACAAAGCTCAGTTGTATTCATTAATGATCACTTGATAGCTCCAAACTTTAAAAAATTAAACTATTTGAGTTGCTATAGCACCAGTACTAGGTTTTGTGTGAATTCATTGTCATAAACATTTGAACCATTCTATCAATCCAGAGGGTTTTAAATTACAAACAATACTTCAGAAGTCAAAACTAAAGCCGCTTAAGTTGTTAAGTTATTTGAATCATGGAAAACTCATCAGTTAATGAAACAAGTCACAATAATGAAATTCAACTCATAGCTGAAGACTTGTTAGATGATGACAGTATCATTGAAGGTTACATCAAGATTATGAATAAACATTCCAATTTGAAAATTTCTACATCAAGTGATCCCGTGGAAGCAAAAGAGTCAGTTACAGAATTCAGAGATGCTTTTTTAATTCCAATGATCAAAAGACTTATACGTGGTTCGGATACCAATAACAGATTGGGGTTAATGTTATTTATCAGAATTAGTATTGGTCTTCCAGATTTTAATTTAGCTACTGCTCCAGGGTTCAAAGATCTATGGGAATCAGGAGAGACTGTGAGTAAACCATCCAAGAACTCACTTTCAAAAGCATGTCTGGACCAGAACATTTATGCAAAAGTGAAATTTATAGAAATTGAAGATCAAGAGGTTGCAAAAATATTAAAGAGAATTTTGGTTGATGTTACAAGCAAATTAAAAAGCTTAGATGATGAGGCCATTGAGGATATCATGTCAGGTATTGGTATACATCAATTTTTTAACTTGGATGAAGAACCTTTAGATGTTTTGAATGAAAGCGTCACAGAATATTATGTTTTGGGGAAAATTTTGAATCCTATCAGACTCTTATACAATCTCACATTGGCCGAGGGTTATAAATTAAAGACAAGTTTACAAAAGGCAGAGTACCTGAAAAGGCAGAGATTCGAAAACCTTCCAAGTGGTGACTTGAAGTTATCCAAACACACGTTTCATGTATTCCTTGATATTACATTAGCCTTAAAACCTCCTGGGTCAAATGAGTCTTATAATTTTGCAAATTTTGAAATAAAAATATACAACTGTTTGTCCATATTTTCCGGGATAGGTACCACTAATTTCAAATGGTGGTTTTTTCAGGTTCTTAGCCAGATTATATCTGGTGATTTTTAACTGATGGATTCAGTTTGCTTTTGATAAAGATAAATTTTGGCAAGGAGTTGGAGGATTTTCTTTCAGATCCTGAAAATCCAACTAATAAAGTTCCATTTTTATTCAAGTTGGTTAATATAAAAGATTCTGGTATCACCGCACAAGCCTCACTTTTGACAATGATACACGATGAAATTGAAAACTTTTCGGAACCTAAATATAGAGAAAAGATCTACCAAATTCAAAGGCTCAAAGATATCTGCTTGAAAAGTAACAGTGAGTTTGTTGCAACTCTAATAGAGTGGACTCAAAGGAATTTTTTTGAGTTAAGATTTTATCCTCTATATGAGATTGATTATTGTCCTGATATCTCTAGTGAAAAATATATTTCATTATTCCATAATGGCTCTGGTGAAAATCCACAAGTATTACTTATTTCTAAAAGACTCTATAAAAGTTTGTTCAAAATCAAGCCCACCAGAATCGAAGACCACGGACTTGTTGTTCTTTCAATATATGATCCAACTAGATATCAGATTCAGAACTATACTGAAGATGATACATTAGGTTTGAAAAAAGCTAAAAATTTGTTCATGGATAAGTACAAGAACCAGATGAAGGCTATTGATATCATCAAAAAGTTTAACATGAAAAACGAAAATAAGGTAAATGTATTAACACATTTCAGAGATGGGAACATGAAGTTGAAGATCAAAAATTTTTCATATTATGTTGGAAATTATATTATTCGTGAACATGTTACAGATAGACCTTGTACAAAGGAGGACTTCAACGAAGCTATTGAACAACTCAATTACTTAAGAGATGCTGGTATTCAACTAGAAAAGATTGAAGTAACTGATATTTTTATGTCCAAAGGGAAATGTTACTTAACCAACTTCGATAATGCAACTTTTGAAAAGACTAAGGAAGTTAATCCTTTGTGTTTGTCCAAGCTTGAAAAGTTAAGGGATAATGCTGAAAAATCTAAAAAGCCAAAGCATCAATGAAGTCTATTGATTGTTTATCTAAATGGGTTTGCTTTGAAATTTGCGTTTTATATACAATAAATAATACGTCGAAATATAATGAATATGATGCAGGTGATCTGACGTACTCAAATCTCACTTCTCAAGCTTATAAAACATATCGGAAGCCTAAGATTGCTCTTAAAAAATCCAGCAGCTTTCAATTAAGTAACTATACTGCATGTTATCGATCGATTTGATAGTTTTGTTAAGTTATAGTATCATTAGTGCTACTAAAATTCCCGGGTAACTATTGTGTTTATAATGCGACTGCCCGAACCGTTTTGGTCAATTATCAGGAGTGGAGTTGAATACTTATTGCATACAACAAAAGTTCCAATTCGTTTCAATTTGATGAAGAAAGTTTCAATTAGATTGAGCAAAGAAACTAGAATTAAAAGATATGCTTAGAGTAGCATTGAAGCCATTAACCACTTATCGTGGGTTTCATTTCACCAGGGTCACCCCAGCGTTCAAACAAGTGATCGAGGAAGATATTAGATACCTTATTGATTCATTACCTCCAGCTTCAAAATTATACCAAAATGCTGATGGTACACCAAGAGAACCTACTGATTTGGAATTACATAAATTAGCTCATCTATCTGTATTAAATGAAAAAAGAAAATTAACTTTATGGGATTATTTAAGATTATCAAAAACAAATTCAAAATTATATGCTGATAATTATACAGATATTCAAAATTTATTGCCAAATTCTGAAAATGGTGCATCTGGTAATATAATTGATAAGATCCCTTATGAAGATGAAAAAGGTTTTGTTAAATGGCGTATTGTTAGAGAAAATGAAAAAGAAGGATGGGAAGATCTAACTCGTTGGTTATTAATCCCAGGTTATTTATTATTCATGGCTGTTTATTTATTCAAAGATGATAAAGGTGTTGATCAATGGGCTGATGATGAATTGAGATTAAGAGCTCTTGAAGAAACAGAAGGGGAAGAAGGTGCTAAAGAATTGTTGAGAAATGATAATAAAACTCCTGAAGAAATTAAGAAGAGAGATGAACTAATCGTGGAGAGAATCTTGAGTGGTGAATATGATAAATTATCTGGATTAAAGATTAAAGAGCCAAAATTGCCAATGTTGAGTGATATTACACCATCTACAAATTGAATCCTTTAACTTTCAATTTATTTATTAAAACCCATGGTCTATGGGCTGACTATTTATTCTAACTTATTTATTTATTTATATTTATTTATTTATTTATTTATATCTATCTACAGTTATTCATATTATTTTTATGTTTATTTATAAAATACACATTCGTCATAAATATTAGCCATAAAATGTTCGATTTAATTATATTATTTCTTTACCAAAACAATGGTAATAAGGTTATTGATTCATACTATAATCACTTATTGTTGTTTCATTATGTCCATTTTCATTTATATCTGGAGTTGATCTATGTTTAAAACTATTCAATTTTGGCATTGCAAATTGATGTACAGGTGGTAATGATTGATGATTATGATTATTTTGTGAAGTATTGTGTGAATTATAATTATGATTTTGATATAATTCATGACTACTATTTGCTTTGATTGCACTATGATTATTTTGCTTTTGTTCTTCTGTTAAAACTTGAGATGCCAACAAGCCTAAAGTATCTAACATTCCAGGCAATTCTTGAGATTGAGATTGATTTTGAGATTGAGATTCTTTATGACTTAAATTTGAAGATTTTTTTCTCTTTTTAACAGTTGAACTATTGATGGTTGAATCATTTTGACTTTTAGATCTCAATCTTATGATTTCTTTATTTTTATTTATGATTTCATTTTTATATTTTTTTAAAGTTAACTTTTGATGACTTATTTTTTTCATTAGTACATTCATATTTTCACCTTGAGCTTTTAATCTTTCAACTTGACGTTTAATTAAATCATTTTCAACTTCATATCTCATATCAGCATCTTTGGAAGATATTGATAATAACTCAGCTTTAATCTTATATTGACCAGCTTCTATTCTTGCCTTATTTAAACTTGTAATTAATTCTTTAATTAAACTTCTTGATTCTTCAGATTCTAAAGTTTCATTATTTGTATAGGATCTGGCACGTTTGAGCAGATCTGTAATACATGGTGATTCATCTGATTCATATAAATGTGAAGATGATATTGTAGTTGACGAAACAGATGCTATTGAAGATTGTGAAGAAATTGATTGCCGTTGTTGATGATGATGATTATTCGTATTATTATTATTTCCATTTGTATCAGCTATCCTGATTTCCTCTTGTGTATCATTTTGAGTTGATTCCTGGGTACTGAGCTCTTGACTGCTCGGTTGACTAGGTACTTCATGTTGTACAGTAGTGGGTTCTGAAACTTGAATTGATTTTGATGAATCTAATAGTTTAACAGTACTATCATTTCCTTCATTATTCACTGGATAAGTATTCATTATATGTTCTTGAGGTATGGTAACCATTGCCAAATGTTCAATCCAATCCAATCTTGTAATTATATCTAGACAGACACGAAATATATGGGTATTAAATATGTATGATGAATGAATTTTACCACCAATAATAAATTTATCAAACCGCGCCTTTTGAACCTATATGCAAACCAAAACAAACACGAACTATAAAGTCACAATAATGGAAAGATATAACCGGTTTAATTGAATGTAATCAAAAGTCTCTATTGGAAGGCCAAACTAGATATTTAATTAAAAAGTTTCTCCTGACTCTAAAACAAACTAGAGCCTCTAAAGGGCGATGCTTTCTACTTTGTACGCGTCTGGAAATACACAGGTTTTGGGTTTTTTTGTTTACTTTTCAAATAAACGCGATGAATAAAAAAACTGAAAATTACATCAACTTTAAAATCATCTGGGGAAGTTCAAAATCGATACCAGAGGAGTCGAATGGCGGTAATCAATTAAATAACGTACTTTGAGTTTGATATATAACTGATAATAAAGCAAGATGATAATTCATTATTTAGAAATCGATTACATTACAGTTCACTACATTGGAAACATTTTCAAACCATTCTTTTTTGATTAGTTATATATGAATGAAAGAAAAGAAACATTGTACATAAAGTTGAGGATTGATGAGAAAAGTTGATGAGAAGGATGGAAATTCTTAACGGTATGATTTTTGGAATTTAGATCTAGCACCTTTACCACCAAATTTCTTTGGTTCTGATTGTCTTGAATCAGCAATCAATAAGGTTCTGTCATATGAGGTGAAAGCTTTTTTCAATTCGTTTTTAGATTGTTCATCAACGAATTTTTGATGATAAGCAACTAAACCTTTGGCAATAGCTTGTCTGATAGCGTAAACTTGAGAAACGTGACCACCACCGGTAACTCTAACTCTGATATCAACACCAGCAAATTTGTCTAAACCAACCAAGATTAATGGTTCGTAAACTTTGAAACGTAAAATTTCTGGTTCAACTAAGGTGATTGGAGCACCGTTAACTTTAATTAAACCTTTACCTTCTTTGACGTGGGCAACAGCGGTAGCGGTTTTCTTTTTACCAAAAGTCTAGAAAGAGAAAATTGTTAGTATATGATATTCACAAATCAAATCTAATGGAAATGATAGTGTAGAGTATGACAAAATATGTTTCTGGTAATATAATCTCAAGGTTCTGTTTAATTTGATCTTTATAATCTTGAATTAGTGGGTACTGACTGGCTCTTATAAACACATATTTAATATATTTGATCTTTGATTCAAATCTTCTTTATTTTTACACTTGTCATTATAATATTTCTCTGAAACACTAAACTATTGATCTGATCACTTATCTTTCATTTATTGTATTACTTTTCAAATTGGTTCTCTTGATATTACGATACTATTTTGGATCTTTCATTCAATACATTTGATATGAATTTTAAACTCTTACTAGAGTGATAATTGAATCATTCATGGGTCATACTCTTGCACTTGTTCTTCCTCTGTATCATCTAAACATACTTGGACACTTTTAACTGATTTTTCTTCAGGCATGATTGCTGTGTTATATGGTATATTAGGTCTTTATGATTGTTCAACTAATGGTAGCTTTATGAACAAATTTGTTTTTTCACAGAGGATGGATGAAAAAAGTGAGTTGTGTTGCGCTGACCGACTGGGAGATTTTTTAGCAGAGTGTTCGCTGAGTTCGCGAAGTCTGAAAAGACAGTGGCGACAAGTTGGAAAACGCGTTCGCGGACTGGTGGTGCGATTGTACACTGTGGGCATGAGCGAGTGTGACTGCTGTTTGGGCTCTAGGGCTTATCACGTGAGGTGATTGAAAGCTTAAATGAGTCAAGAATAGTAGTTATTTTTAAATAAAAGAATGAAGACATATAGTAATCTAGAATGATACTGGGTCGGTTTTTATTTATTAGCTGCTATATATAATTAAGTAAACCATTACTACCTTCACCATCTACTATATAATATCAATCTAAATCTACTGGAATTTGTATTCACACCCAAACACCACAGTACTCACCACAAAAAATGACTGTCAAAACTCACAGTGCCACTCACTCCATAGTTAAGCCCATCGTGTGTCCTGTTGCAAACCTCGCTTTTTCGCACTCAGAACTGGTTCGGGACTCATCGAGCACTCTGACCTTGCAAAGATCCAAACAAAATTTCATCGAAATTATCAAGAGTGTGAACTGATACCTCTAATACAAGTTTGAAAGGACAGTAAATTTATCAACAATGGGTATGTGATAATGTGATAATACAAGTGGGTTCCCATATGATTCAATGAGATACATCTTCATAAGATCAAGACAGCTCAAATGATATATTATTCGTTATGTCGTGGTTGAAAATACAATTAAAAGATGAATGTTTATCATTATGTAAAATGATCATTAAATTAAATCAAATTTCAATATTTATCTAAAGGGAACCTATGAATTAGATTCATCTACTATTATAAGTCAAGTATACTAACTATTGTATTATAGCTATCGCTAAAAATTTACCACTTTTGAAAAACCATTTCAGAAAGCACTGGCAAGAACGTGTCAAAGTTCACTTTGACCAAGCCGGTAAAAAAGCTTCAAGAAGACAAGCTAGAGCTTCAAAAGCTGCTCAAATTGCTCCAAGACCATTAGATGCCTTAAGACCAGTTGTTAGAGCTCCAACCGTCAAATACAACAGAAAAGTTAGAGCTGGTAGAGGTTTCACTTTACGTGAAATTAAAGCTTCAGGTTTAACCCCAGCTTACGCTAGAACCATCGGTATTGCTGTTGACCACCGTCGTCAAAACAGATCAACTGAAATCTTCGAAGCTAACGTTTTAAGATTAAAAGAATACCAATCCAAATTAATTGTCTTCCCAAGAAACGGTAAAGCTCCAGAAGCTGAACAAATCTCAACTGCTCAAGCTTTCCCAATCGTCCAACCAACTCCAGAATCAGAACCAAGAGCTGTTGAACAACAAGAACAAACCGCTTACAGAACTTTAAGATTAGCTAGATCAGAAAAGAAATACAGAGGTATTAGAGAAAAGAGAGCTAGAGAATTAGCTGAAGCTGAAGCTGAAAAGAAAAAATAAGGTGAATGAATAAATGAGAATTACATATAATCGTTTATAAATGAAAAAATTAATAAAAATCTAAAACTTTTGGGAATTAGAAATTTGTAATTCAATTTATTTAAAGTGATGTTTTTCCATATGGGGTGTTCATATTATTTTAATCTTCGCTTTGTTAATAGCATTTTGTATATTTAAATTTGATCTTAATTGATTTTGAAGTTTTAGGTAGTGTAATATCAGTAAAGTACGTAATACTATGGGTCAGACTCATATTAATATTGACATAGTTGACACAATTCAAATGTAGATATTAGGCCGTAATTTACAATATATTTTTAATTAGATATTACAAGTTGATTTAGTGACATTTCTTTAGTTGATCGCATAGTAATTACATTTTCTATTGATTTTTTTAGTCATATATTACAGTCTTTATAACTTTAACATACAATTTTATTTTGATAAAGAAACCTGAATAATCCCATTTTATAACCAATAAAATAATTTAAAAGAGAAACAAATCATGAATTTTCGTTTATTAATATAATTTAACCATTAAATTAAAGTTAATTTCCTTAATCGAATAAACCGAAACCCATATCATCATCGGATTCTTCTTTAGCTTCTTCTTCTTTCTTTTCTTCTTCAGCAGCAGCTTCACCACCAGCGGCAGCAGCTGGAGCAGCAGCAGAAGCACCTGAAGCAGCACCACCAGCAGAGATGTTGGTTAATAAACCTTTGACATCTTGAGCAGCTAAAGCTTTAGCGTATAAGTCAGCCCAGATTTGATCAACTTGAACTTTAGCAGCTGAAGTTAAAGCTAATAATTTTTCAGATGAGATTTCAATTTCTGAATCAGCTAAGATTAAAGCAGCGTATGATAAAGATGTTTCAACAGACATTTTTGGATGTTAAGAATAATCAAATTTAAGCTATTATAGCAGACTATTTCTTTGATTGTTTTAATCAAGTACTTCCCTTTCAGTACAGTTTTGGTAAGAACTAATTTTTCACAAAGTTTCGTGGTTGAGAATTTGGTGATTTCGCGGAATTTCGCTGAAGGTGTTTGGATGTTTTTAGGAAACCCTTTGAATTCAGCATCATGTGACTGCACTTAGGGCGCTCATATGTGAAGAAATTTTACCCCAGACTTTAAAGAAAATTTTGGACTGCACCATATATAAGGGAGACCTTAAAATAGGTAGAAATTACAATATATAAAACAGTCAATAGTACTGAATATATGATGAAAGATATACTTCTTAGCTAGAACACTTATCTAAACATTTCAACGCCGACTTGAAGAATCCCTCCTTTTTCTTGCTTCTTCATCCATAAGACTTAATCTCATAGCTTCTTCAATCATACGTTGTTCAACATCTTGTTCATTATTTTGAATTAATAGATTACTCGCATGGATAGCACTTGCAGTAGCAGCTCTTTTTGCTAATCTAGCTCTTGCAGAATTTAATTTTTGTTCCCAATCTGGTCTTATAAAATCTGTTGTAATTACAGCTGGATTATTTGCAGATAATGAACCACGACGACCTGATGGACTTCCTGAACGACTTCCATTCCCACTATTTGAACTTGATCTTGTAGCATCAGTCATTGATTTTTTGAAATAATTATCATCAACATCAAAACTTGAAGTTTCTTCACCCTCTAAAATAACAGCTTCTGATGATGGTAATTTAAATAAACCAGCTGTAAAATCACCATTTAATCCAGTTCTGAAAAATGGTGGCGTATAAGTAACACCAAAATTTGCAGTTGCACAATATGGACAACATGCTGGTTCTGAAATTAATAAATTTGGATCATTTTTAGCCTTATCTTCAACATCTTCTTCATCATTATCATGTGGGAAATGTGGATCTAATCTTTTAATTTGAACAAAACATTCAGTACATATTGGTTGAACACAACATCTTGAATAATTTAACCATTTTGGATAATAAAGGAAACAAATTGGACATTCTGCAACATTTCTGTATAAAATTAATTTTAAATCTTTACTTGAAGCTTGTTTTGATGTTGATTTTTCTTGTCTATATCTTAATTCTTCATCATCTTGCCATTTTAATCTTTTCACTTTTAATTGTTTATTAAATTTCTTTGATAAATGTTTTTTTAATTCTCTTTTACTTAATGTGGTTTCATCAATATCTTCATATTCATAATTTAAATCTTCATCTTCATCATCAGCTTCAGATGGATGTGCATGTAATTTTAAAGAATCAACAGTTTTTAATAACTCTTCATCAGTCCAATTTTTATTATGATCTTGTAAAGGTGTATAAAAAGGTGCCAATTTCCTATCTATTATACATTGCTTAACAACACTTATTTTATAGTCCAAATTCAAATTATAAGTACCATAAGGTGCTAAATAACCACCATCAACATTTTCATCATATTTAACAACTAAACCAGCAGCATGAGCTTCTTTGAATTTTTCCTTTTCTTTAGTATTACTAGATCTTTTACCAAGTTTTAATTTTTGAGCTGGGAATGGTGATGAAGAATTTGGATTTAATCCATTGATTGTAGAACTTATTGAACTACCTCTTCTGCGTGAAGATTGACTTCCACGGTCTTCTTTTGTTGGAACGTTCCCCATGATTGATATATTTTATTAATAGATCATGTAAATGTACCTGAGTGAAGAATATAGGGGCAAATTAAAACTTCAGTCTATCTTTTATTGGAACGGAATGTAAACAATAATAATGTAGTCTGTGCTTTCTAAATGAAAGGTATGAATCCTTTATTATGAAATATGTGATAAATATATTAATATGAGTACCCCTTTACCGAGTTATTCAAAGTCCTCTATGTTTTGTAGTAAATTGGATTAGAACCCGCTTAAATTTAGACAAAGCGTTCAACTCGATTTGACGTCTTATCATTTTGCGCGGTGTGGGGCGAACCGGATAGAATAACCGCAGTTCATCCGGATTTTCATAATTATAGCTTAAGCCGGCAAAGTATTTTTATTAGGTCAAAAGGTGCTTTATGCAATTTCTACAGACTTATGGTTTTGTGAATATCAGTACGCCTTCTATATATAAATAAATCAAGTATTAAATAAAAAAACAATGCTGTTAAGATAGTTCTTTTTTTGCATGATTTGGATTGATATAATCTATAATCCCTAATCAATATCTTATAATGATGCAAGTCCAACTCCGAAACCAATTCCTATACACGCTAAACTAGTTAATAAAACAAGCATACCAACAATAAGTGATATCTTCTTTATATTTGGTGTTATACGACCAATAAATTGATCTAATAATCCAAACCCAAGAAAGAAAAACAATGGTGGTACTATAAATGAAATTAAAAAAATTATCCAAGCCATTGTATCTGCTCTTTTAGTTTGAACATTTCTATTCAATGATTTATTTGATCTATAACGATGAATTTTTTTCAATAATAAATCATCATCATAATAAGAAGAAATATCTGTATCTGAACCATCAAATGATTCTCTAAAATATGTTTTATTTTGTTTCTCTTTTAATTCAATAGGTTCATTATTTATATCATATGGTGATTTATGGGAATTTTTAAACATTTTAAATTGTTGATCTTTTATTCTTTGTAAATCTTTTTCTTTTAATTCTTTTTTAGGATGAGCATCAATATCATCTTTATCATCAACTATATCAAACCCTGGCATTGTTGGACTTTTAGCTGAATGAATTGAAGGTACAATACCAACAATACTAAAACCTAAACCACGTCTTGCAATAGTATTAACATTTTGGATTTTAACTTCACCATCTGAACTTTGTGTACTACCATTATCATGTAGCATTAATGGATGTAAACCAGGTGATTTTTTTCTTGAAAATTCATATTCTAAAATTGATCTTCTTGTTGAATTACTTGATTTTGATGATGCAAAAGTTGATTGAGATGGTTTTTTTTGAGGTCCTTTTTGTGGTAACATTGGTTCTTTAAATTGATGATTCGGTACTGGTTCTAACATTTGAGGTTCTGGTTGTTTTCCTTGTTGTTCTTGCTCTGGAGTTAAAGCATATTCATCAAAATTTGTAGCATAAGCTGATATAATCCTTTCTCTATAAGCACTTTCTCTATTATATGGTTCCTCATTTTCGTCTTCATTGATTTGTCCATTAGAATCACGAAATTCAAATTTTGGAGGTGGAAGTTCAGGAGTTTGTGATGAAGGATTATTATAATTATTATTATAATTATTATTATTATAAATTTGGAAATTATAATTTGGTCCAAATATTGATTGATGATTTTTTGTTTGTGAGAAACTTGAAATAGTTGATTCACTTGGTGAATTTATATTTGAATTTGATGAATTGTTTTGAGGTTGAGGTATTAACATATTAATTGAACCTAATGAATTTCTTTTTATACTTGTTTTTGATGAACTTCTATTGATTGAAGCTCTACTTTTATTTCTTTTATGATTTTGGAAAGAATTTGATCTTGATAATGTTATATTTTTCAATGAACCAGATCTTGAATGAGTTTTATTACCATCTAAATCAGCAAGAATATTTGAAGTATTTGGATTTGAAGAAGTTCTATTTAAACTCGAGGCCCTTGATAACTCAGTGTTCTTATGTCCATGATCATTATGAACTTCATTTTCATTTATAACATCTTGATAAATATTAAAAGGTTTATTAGTTCCATTTTCATCAATAAATGATTCTCTAAAGAATGATTTCCCAGTTGACCTTTTTGAATTTGAATCTGAATTTGTAGTATTTAAATAAGAATTTGAAGAGTTTGAATTTGAGTTTGAATTCGAATTTGAACTATTAAAAAATTGTGATTTATTAATTTGCCTTATAAGGAAAGATTCTTCAGTATCTGTTGATACAGAATGTGAAGAATCAGGATGTAATGAACTAACGTCTGACATGATGACCCAGTACTGATTTTGACCTTTTCCCCTTCAATAATATTTATATTAGATATTGTTCCTTAAATTGAAGATAATTTTTTTTTGTTTTAAAAATAGGATTTTCATACAATGAAAAATTGAAAAGTATGATAAAGTATCTAAATGCTTTAAAGGTTTTGATGAGTATAATTGAATAAACGAATGACTATAGTTAAATCAAGATATTTGATGAGTGAGTGACTAAGGGTTAGTTGTTGATGTTGTACTGGATTAACTTCTTGAAGAATGGTATGTATAACCTAGTAGTATGATTAAGAGATAATTTTAGTGCATTTGATGGAATGCTATTGTTTTGTTTACCTTTGTTTACATTTTCAAGTAAATCCGATCTCATTGAAAATTCGCGGATCCGCGAACCGATTTGATCTTTGAAAAATTCCAGATTTGATTTTGAAAGGCAGAATTTTCAACAACTAAGGCTGAAGTTTGAAAGGAATGAAGATCTAGATTTTGAGAGCCACGATCCACCAGACATGACAAACCATTTGGTTATGGTGTCTTAAACTACTCATTAATATTGAACTGCCATAGCTTACAGGCTACTACTACTATCCAACGAGATTTGTAGCTTATACGGCAGTAGTCATCTGACCATAAAGTGCACACTACTACTAGTAACAATGTCTATAAAATCTGTACAATTATTGTTCGATTCTATCATATCTAAAATGCTTATCATATTGAGAATTTATAACTTCATACTTCATATATATAAGAAGTGTACAGCTAAAATCTGGCTAAACACTCTGAGTACAAGTGAATCGCGTGATGATATCCCTGTAATATTTAAGCATATGGTATTGTCACTTGTGTGCACTGTGGACTACAACAATAGTTCAATTGATCTCAAGATATAGATCTAGACGTTTGAAAGGCAATCGGAATAATTACATAGTCAAAGTTGAAATACCCTAGGTCCTAGATGCACAACTGCTACTATGGCTTAAATTTATAGCGCTTTACTCAACTGATCAGCTAGCTGAAATTTGATTGCATTAATTGCTCATTGAGAGAACGAGAGAACCAAAGAACCCTGTAAGTTGTATATAGATGTGGAAAATGCGATTAGTACGCAGCGAAAAAATACAATATTTCAAAATTCATAAATTCCATAGTTGAGATTTAAGATAGTGCATCAAAATTAATCTCACACAAAAATGAGTCGTTGCTCACATGAGTTCAACATGACAGACTACAGTACTCCCATTTGAGACCTACGTTCATCTATCCAAAAAGTTCCATGAGCTAGTACACTCGTGAGTCGTCGTTGACTCGTTTCCTTTTATTGTTTATGTTTATAAATTTCAAACACTAGGAAGAAGTTAGAACTGAATAATTTTTTTACGACGTAACTTTACAGGCTACTAAAAATATCTCTTGTTTATTTTTTAAAAGGGGGGACAGTGCACTATCTGAACCTCACTAGTCTTTTAAAAGGTTCCTTTTAGAAGGTTCCAAAGGGGGGTCTATTTCTGCCTAGGATTGAAGAGAATCTCCTGCCTAGCTCTGCCCAACTCCCCCTAATTATGGGGCAGTACGCACTGGGCGCCCCTACACTCACAACTCCTAATTTTTAAAGTCTAGACTTTCCTAGACCCCCTAGTTTTCGCCACTGGATTCTGGAATCTGGATTTGTTTCACTGTTATGCGTAGCCTGTCTATTTTTGAGGCACATGCACGAAGTCTCAGTTCTTAAACTTCAAAGTCTTAAATTGCGCACCTGTTTTATTTTGGGATTCGTTGATATCGCCTCTATTGAATTTCTATAAAGCCCAGATCATTTCCACATGCTTTGTTATTGATCTAAAATTTAACTGATCAATACAAATCAATAGGTTTTGACCTTCAACAACAACTTTACAACAAGTTTACACACGGCGCTTGATTCATAAAGCATCACAGAGTAATATTATTGTCATCCACTACATTAATCATGGCTGAAACTACTGATATCCCAACTAATTTTAAAACTTCTTTGCCTCCAAGAAAGAGAGCTAAAACAAAAGAAGAAAAAGAACAACGTCGTGTTGAAAGAATCTTAAGAAATAGAAAAGCAGCTCATGCTTCAAGAGAGAAAAAGAGAAAACATGTTGAATTTTTGGAATCTTATGTTTTAGATTTAGAAAAACAATTACATTCTTTTAAAGAATTAAATGGTCATTTAATGGAATGTTATCAAGGTGGTAATGATAAAGTTGATTCATTAGTTGAAAAAATTCAAAATTTACCAGATTTAAATAAAAAAAGACATGATCATTTTATGGAAATTGATGCTGAAGATAATGAAGAAATTTCAGAAAATTCTTCAAAATTTTTACCAAAAACTCCAGAATCTTTTGCTTCATCTCCAAAACAAAATGTTGATGATCAAGTTCCTGATTTAATGTCTCCAGAATCAAATTCTTCAATGTCTGAATCTGAACGTTCAAATTCATTTATGATGCAAACTTTAGCATCTCCACAAACTTCTCCAATTACAAACAAATTTTCTTTAGATATTATTACAGGTAATGAACAATCATTTTCATCTCCAGTTATTAAAACAGAAGAAGAAGAAGTTGGTATTGATCAATCAAACAATTTCTTCAATGGTGATATGTTTATTAAAAAAGAAGATGAAGGTACTCAAATTCCACCTTTATCTAATGATATTTTCAATGATAAATTAAATTTTGGTGAATTTCAAGTTAATACTTATGATATTGATTTTGGATTTGATGAGTTGCGTAATCCAGCAGTGATTACATGTCAATTGAAGAAAATTAAGATTCATTAGAAAGAAATATATCGTGTCCTATTGTGAACAAAACTTATATCAGGCGATATAAAGATTTAGGACATGATTATACTTCCTTCTAATTGTAATTCATGTTTTTTTTAAGTTGCAACTTTAGCCCGATGCGCCTTCAAATTCATTTCAATTAGATGATTTCGTATTACTTGAATAGAAAGGGAAAAAAAGTTGTCAAACTCAATAAAAATTATATTCTTGGTTTTGATTTTTATTGTTTTATGAATTATGACTTATTCCAATAATGATTATTATCCTGCTGTTTTTTCAATATAGTTTATATTTTGAGAAAGAAAGTTTTTGATTAGGGTTATAAAAGAAGATCTTGAAAACTTTGAGTTATAAAATCAAGAAGTCATGTGGCGCTTTAATTAGCGACTGGGCTTTGTTTTTAAAGATTTTAAAATGAATAAGTTCAGAAAAGGTTGATATTTTTTAGCTATTATTTTCAAATTCGTTGGTGGTTGATTTTATTATTCATTTATTGGAGTTGGTTTATATCACGGCTTGAGACAGTTGGCTCGTCGTTTGATTATTTAATTTATAAAGGGGTTTTATTTTATTTATTTGTTAAAATTTGGGTTTTTACACATTTTTTTTTCTTGTTTTCAATTCATTTTTATTAAATTTAGGTTTATCATTTATAAGGAAAAGTTATAAGATAATAAATGTATCTATTTGAAGAAGTTGTTTATTAAAAAAATTTACAATTAGAAGAAAGTTTTAATTATGGGGGGATGTATAAGATATTAATATATTATATTAAATATAACTTGTAGTCATTAGTCATTAAAATATAATCATTCATGATCTTTCACTTATAACTGGGAAATCTTTAGCATCAACTTGAATATTTTGATTTATACTTGCATTAACCCAATCTTGATTTACCAATCTTATAGTTGTAACAGACTTATCAGAAAATTTTAAACCTTCACTTAATTGACGTCTAATTTCTTTAACTTTTAAGTTCATTAATTCATATTCAGGATAATTAGGGAATATTATTAATTGAGAATCTTTTAAATCTTCAACTAGTTCAGCACCAAATAATTGTAATCTAAGTAATAACTGTGTATGAATAAATTGATGTTTTGATTCTTCAATGTTCACCAAGTAGATTTTTAGATCATTAAACAATAATACCTCATTCAATTGTTCATCAATATCAACATCATTAAAATCATTCTCATTCAATTCTAAGAATAATTTCTTTAATTCATCTTCTGTTATTGGTATCTTATAACTATCACCAAATGAGTCAACTCTTTTATTTGATTTTAATTCTAATTCTCCATTAACTTTAAAACAATATTTTGGTTCAACTTGAATGTTTTGTTTAATTTCAACACATTTAAATAACCATGAAGATTTTAAGATATCAAATCCTTTTTTTTTCAATGCACTGGCCTGTATTGTAAATTTATCACTGATGATTCTTAATGAACTCCAATCTTGAATTGTTGTTTCATTTTTAGTAACTTTACCACCATTAACATGAATAATACTTGATAATTCATCTAATGTTATTCTATTATTTTTATAAAAAACATCAGATAAAACCATGAATGTTAATCCTTCAAAAATTTCAGATGATTTACTCATTTTATTGAAATCATCATCATTCCAAATTTCTTCATCTTGACTTTCTCTATGTCTTTTCCTAATAAGTCTTTTCTTTTTTGAAACTAATTTTTGTTCAGTTGATTTTACAGAAGTTCTTGAATCTTTTATATGTTTATAATCATCCAATGTTGATGCAGTTCTCCAATCTTTATCATCTCTAATCTTACGATTATAAGCATTATATAGTGTTGTTGAAGTTTTATAGTTTTTAGAAATTGATCGATCAATAGATCTTGCTTTGACTTCAATAACAAATGAATCTTTAGGATCAATCCATTCTGGAGGAACTCTTTTACCAAATTCAATTAATGAAGCTGGTGGTTTTTCTTTGTTTATATCTTTCCATTTTCCTTGAGTGATCCTTTCAATTTCTCTATATTCATTTTTATCAAATCCATTAGCAACACGACAAAAACTCCAAAATTTACATTTTAGATCATCATCTAAATCATCATCACTTACTCTTAACCCACAGAAAAACATATCTTTTTTACTTTTTTCTCTTCCAATAACAACTAAATCAACATTTTCACCAAATTCTTCTAAATATTCAGGCTTTATTTTAACCCATTGATCAGTTCTTTTATCAATTTGATAATGTGACTTGATTTGTTTTAGTACAACACCTTCAGATCCTTTTTCCACTGCATTTGTAAGTGCTAGTTTAATATCATCTTCAGTACTTGCTCTTTTTGCTTCTATAATCTCAACAAATTGTGGTGATTCATTCAAAATTTTCCTAAGAAATTTCTTACGTTCTTCTAATGCTTTGTTAGCCAAAGAACGACCATTGAGGTATAAAAGATCAAAGACCATGAATAAAGGTCTGGCATATAACTTGTTTTCATCACCAGATTCAAGCCTTTGTAATTCATGTAATGCACTACCTTTCAACACACCAAATGGTAAAATGGCATTTCTTTGTGGATCATATGTTATCATTTCACCATCCAAGACACAACTTTGAACAGCATCAACAAATTTCAAATGTGGCGATATACAGCCATTTTCTAGGTCCTGACCATATAAATATGTATAGTCAGTCGCTCTTCTACTCCAATAGTTTATAGTTTTCCCATAATTATCATAATGCATTTGAATTCTTTCACCATCCATTTTCTCTTCTATAAAGAAATCATTCTCAAGTTTTTGAACCACTCTTGAATATGATAAGTTAGGTTTCAGTGCCAATTGAGGAGCGAATGGTTTAGAAAGATTTATGGATAAATCTGTCTTGTTCAACCTTTCATTAGGATCATAAAGTTTATAAGCAACAGTTTTCAAGCTTGTAACAACACTTAAGTATTGTTGAGCATCAGGATGCCATGTATTTAATATTCTGTTTTCCATATTTTTAACCACATTTTTCTTTAACAGAATATCAAAAAAGTAACGAAGCTCTAAGAAACACATTTTATCCAACAATTCAATCAACATTTTATTTTGTTGTTCTTTCTTGAATTCATCTTTTGACATTTCATCAAGAATATCATTAACATCACCTATTGATAATTCACCACCCTTTTTATCAGTTCTTCTTGCTTGAATAACTTCAATACAAATATCTGACATTCTAGCAGCTTTTGCACTTCTAGATCTTTTCCAATTCATGATTTTGGAAGTTGTCTCTGAATTCTTGGGTATTTTAAGTATTTCTAAGATTCTTCTACCTAAAACTTGATCTTTTATGTTGTAGATTCTTGTTCTATCTTTATGTGGTAATATTAAACATAGTGCAGGATATATATTTGGACCCACTGTACTTCTCCATTCACGAAAGAAATGTTCAACAATTCTTTGCTTTTGATCCGTAACAGTTGCACCACCAGCGCTATAATAATTGGTATGGTTAATTGTTTTATCAAGTTTGTCAAATAAGTTTTCACATAACCATTTAAAAGTTGGAAGAGGACCCCCAAAGTTCTTTGGTGCTTGCTCATCTTTTACATCATCATCAACGTATTTTGTGAGTTCAAAAGCAGCTGGGATCCTTTCATTTTCCTCTTTGATCTTGACCTCTGGTTCACTCATCATTGATCATTGACTTGGAAATATCAAAGCATATCATTTGGCGGCAAATACAAGCTAGCTGGCTTTATTATAACTACTACTCTTTTAAGCCCGTTGTCATTTTTTGTATAATTGTATTTTTGTTGCACTTTATCAATTCGAAATCAAAACATACAAAGATTCGAAATCAACTACAAATATGATTCTTTCATTACCTCTTCTTAAAATATTATATACATTTTGGTGTTTTAAACCTTCAAAGATTGTAAGTTGATGTTATCAGCAATGTTGTCTTCATCGTCTTCTTCTTCTTCTTCTTCTTCACTATAATCATCTTCATCCACTTCATCAAATTGGTCTTCCAAGTTTTTACCATTTTTCGGTATCACATTTCCCAAATTATCATACTCGACTTCTTCATCGTCGTCTTCTTCTTCAAATTCCTCTTCATCTTCTTCATCTGAAAATGAAGGAAGTTTATCTCCACCACGGTTTGTATTCCCTTGTAACCAAATATCTTCAGCATTACCATGATTTTTACGTTCTTCAACTTCTTTCTCTATTTTCAATAACCACTCATCTTGCACTTTTTGTACACTTTCAGAATCTGTACATTGTTGATATAACTCTAGAAGTTCTTTGTTGATTTCAAGAAAGGCTGAACCCCATGAGAAATTGTCTAATAGATCAGCAGCCCAATCTGTATGTCCAACAATAGCGAAGCATGCAGCTAAAGCTTCCACGCAATTCAATTTCCAAGGTCTACCGTAGTTCACTTGATTAGCAGCAACAAGATAAGGAAGTAATCTTTCATATTTACCACCAATCTTATTGAAAGGGACTTCCTCCAATCTAGCCCATGAACATTCAACCACAGCTGCACCATTTTGCTCAACGATTTCCAAATCATTTGGACACACAACACCTTTACCGTTAGGGCTTATAAGTAGTTAGTTTATAATTCCAGAATAATCGTATTTAAAAATGGTTTAACTCACGAGACAACAATACCTTGAAACTTTTGACCAACTCTTAAACTCTTTATAAGACCTAGTCTTTCTAGTTTTTTCCCACTACAACGTTTTGGATCACAGTGACCGAAATCCTTCAATACTGTTAGTTTTCATATCTAAAAACACACTAGTTCCTTTCTGAAAAGTACTTACCCACATAGCTAGCTTTGTGTGGAATTTATCATTGGTTCCATGATGTTTAGTTTCAGCTCTTTTATGCTTTTTCACCAGTGGTTTTTGAGTTCTTGGAGCCCTGTCTTCGCTCCCCTTGTTTTTACCTTTACCCATTATATGAACTTGTGACTAGTAGATACCTCAGAGAATGCTTGATATGGATAGAACTCAGTATATCTTGATCGGATCTTTTTGTGATAATTTATTAAAGACATCTCTCTCTATGTGAAGAAAAAAAATACTTCCGGGATAAATGCCCTCGGAAGTGTAAATCTGACACTTAAGTCTGATTCAAAAGGTACAAGAGACAAATAAAGATGTTTACTAAACGGTCATAAAACAGATCATCCACCTCTTTGCATTTTGAAAACCATCACATATCTACTTATTCGTTAGTCACAGTTTCGATCAAAAGTCTTTATCTGTCCTTGAGGGTTATGCTGAAATTATATTGCTGAAAATTTGAAGAATCAGAATATACCTTAGATACACTTCACAATTTGAAGAAGAAATGGCAAGGAACCTACCTTTGCTTCAAAACCCTTTGTTAAATGCTATATTCAATAACTCACATCCATTCAAGTCATTGGTAAAAGATGTCAATCAAAATAATTCCCAAGAATCTGATAATGGTGTCATAATACTAGTACCCGATTCTAACATTCTCAACAATTATATAGATAGAGAGTCTGGTATAAGGTATAATGAGTTATGTTTACAGGAATCGTTCGTCAGAGATCATATAATAACAACAAATGAAGAAAGAAACGCAAAACTATTCACAACTTTAAGTAAGAAAGAAATACTCATTAAAAAAGAGTTGGTGTTCACCGGGAAAGGATTCAAAAGTTCACTAAGACTCAAAGTTCTAACAACCGATTATTTTTTCAATTTCAATGATTATTTTGAAAAAGGAAGAAGGTTTATGATTATGTTTATTGAATCTCCATTGGTTGGTGTACCTGAACTGTACAATGTCTTGGAAGTCACATTAATTTCAAGTTGTGGTGGTGTTGATAGAGCCATGATTCATAACATTAATGAACCATCATCACAGGTGGTTGGTAAACAAGAGGAAAACTTAACATTACACGAAAGCAATAACGATGGAATTAAGTTTGAGCATGTGTTGCGTAACTTCCCATTAATTGCACGATCTATTGGTGAAAAATATGAAATCTTGTTCAAGAAGTTTAACGTCAAGTCAGCTCCAGATACCGATTCTTTGATTCAGATCTTTACTGAAACTATGAACCTTTCATCCCATATATTTAAGACATTACATCCTGATCATGTGAATGCTATACTTGAAGAGGCCCCAAATGTTGATTTCAATGAATGTCTATACAATTATGTGGAATTCAATCTCTTTGACAAGATATGGTATCGTCTTTGTGAATTAAATGGGGATTTTTTACTTGAGCATTTCACAGATTTGAATAATTTAAGTATAAATCAAGTTAATCTACCCAAGCAGTTTTGTCATAACATCGAACTTCAATCCATTTTAGAGAAAAAAATAGCCCAAGCAGTGAGTGAATTCAAAAAATTAGAGCTTTCTGTAACTGCTGAAATGAAAGCGCATATATTTATTAACACAATTAGCCTATTATCTAACATAGATGGTATTACAATTGATGCTGATACTTTAGTTGGTCTTTTGTTGATGGTGGTGGTACATTCAAAAGTCCAAAACTTGGAAAGTCATTTATTTTATGTTCAAAATTTCTCATTCCAAAATATTGATTTAGGTCTAATAGGGTATTCATTATCAACTATAGAAGGTGTCCTATACTATTTAAAAGATATAGAAAATATGAAACTGTTGAAAAAATATTCCTTATCGAACTCAAATGTTATATCCTTTGTTGAAACTAAAGAATTGATTTCATTGAAAAATCTTGCTGATGATTATGATTCTCGTCCAGACTCAAGCTTAAAATGCAGAACATTAAACGGGGATTCACTTTTAGCACTTGCTATTTTGTCAAATGATTATGATACCTGGAAATTGCTCATAGATTATGAAGAGATTTTTACAATAGAGGACATTCTTACAGATACAACTATAGCCGATGTCAACTTGTTGAACTTAGCTTTGAATTCGGAAAATTATGAGATCACAAATGACTTGGTGGATATATTACTTAGTTCATGTACCAATGAAGAAATAATAACATACTTAAATGCAAAGGATTCACATAACAGGTCTATAGGGCATTATTTATTTCATTATAAAGACCTCATTCCAAAAATTGGTGCATTTATCAACTGGATTGATAAAGATTTGAACGGTCAAACGCCTTTGTTTTCAGTTTGCAGAAGTTATGATACACCAGAATACTCCAAGATGATACGTGAAGTATTTGAAGTGGTTGATAATTGGTATACACAAAACAACTCTGTGTTTGATTACGAGGATCATATAGATAACAGAGGTAATACGTTACTTCATATATTGAGCTCAGATATTGATGTTTTGCTAAAGTACTCAAGAATCAATTTGAATGAATCCAATAAAAAATCTTATACCCCACTGATGATTTACGCCAAATACAATAGAATTGAAAACATACAGAAAATCATTGACGATAACAGAACTGAGATTGTTAAATCTGATAGAAATAATTTTAATGCCTTGGATTTATCCAAAAATGAAATAGTATCAGATTTGTTGGATGAGAAGGTATTCCAAGCGGAGGCTTTGCACTATAAAGAAACAAAAGTCGGTGCTGTCAGAATCAGACTAGAGAATGGACAATGGAAGATAATAATCAGAGTTCAGAGAGATAAAAATAGGTCTGTTGTTATAAGAAATTTCAACGATATTCGGAATTTAATTGAGCTCGTCAACATTGAATATCCAAACAGCTTTATTCCAATAGATTATTACAAAAGATGTTTCAATGCCCAACTGAACTTTCCTGCTTATAACAAACTTAAGTTGAATATTTTAGTGGATCAGGTGAATACATTTTTGGGAAGTTTGATTCTCAATAGATCATTACTTGAAAGTGAATTATTATGGGATTTCCTTTCTCCAAATTACTTTGATTATCAAAAACTTCAAGAAAAGGCACATAAAAATTTACTCAATTTCAGAAAGTCTATATTGGAACTCTCAACAAATAAGGAGTTAGATTCATCAAATGATAACTTCTTACTACAACCTGAAGAAATCAGTGAAATTAACCATTTTTTGAAGTTTTCTACTGGTGAAATTAATAAATTGAGAGCTACTTATGATAAATTATTGAAGATTGTGAATTTTAATCGTGCAAAATACTCAGATCTTCAACAAACCATTTCTGGATTTTCCAGATACAAAATTTTAGCTATTGAAGAACTTAGTTACGTTGGACAAACTTTAATAGACGCTGAAAGAGAAAGTAAATTAGATGATGCTCTTTCTGATATGGTATTAAATCTATATTTGACTGCTAACCAGATCGTGAAAAGGTCAGAATATTTAACAAATGCCAAAATTTATAAATGGTGGAGACTTTACGGTGAATTGATCGAGTTAAATAATAGCTACAAAAAATTCAAAGCTGTTGAGCACAGGAAGTCTAATAACACCTCGACATCTAATGGCTTGAATGGTGCCTTGAATGGCGTCGTTGAAGTTAATGAAGAAAGCTTCCAAAATCTGACTTTGAATACAGAATTCGTCGCTAATAAAGCTAAAGATTCTCCAAATAAAAAACAAACACCTTCATTTTTGACAAATTTCATAGAATCAAAAAGAACAAAACACGAGCAAAAGCTTTTATCCTCCATCAAGGAAGTTAAAGAAAACCTTATGATTTTGAATAGGGATATCAAGTTTAATCATGAGACATTGGCAATGGAAATGAATAATTTCTTGATTTTTAAGACCAAATATTTGGAACATGTTATCAAAAAGTATACTAAAAAGCAAATCAGGTCTCAAAAGTTTAAAACTCAAATGCTACAAAGAAGTCTTGACGATTTAAAAAGCATTAAATAAGAGGAAAACATTACCGTAATACTATATATATATATCCCAACCATTTCTTCAGAATTTATTTATTTCATTGTTTATATTAAAGTACGTAGAGAAAAAAAGAGTCTCAGTTGATTTAATTTAATTACCACCGTTATTTCTGTTTTGACCACCCATAAAATTGTTGGCCAAATCTCTCAAGGCTGGGTTGTTTAACAAACTACTTAAATCTGGAGCACCACCAGCACCAGCATCACGTTCACCTGATCCTGATTCAGCCCCGGCGCCAGCACCAGCACCACCGCCTAAACCAAATTGGGAGGCCATTTGTCTGATAGCTGGATTACTCATTAAACCTTCTAAAGCACCTGGGTTTTGCATCATTTGTTGAGCATATTGCATTAATTGAGGATTATTCATCATTTCAGCAAAGTTTGGAGCACCACCGGCACCACCACCTAAGAGTGATGAAAGATCTGGAAATCCACCAGGAGCAGCGCCTGAAGCACCTGATCCAGAATTGGTATCACGGGTTGATTCTTCAGTTGTAGATAAGTCTAATTGTTCTTCGACTCTCTTTTTAGCAGTTTCGTAACCTTTCTTCATAGCTTCAGATGGTTTATCACCTTCTTTTTCTAAACCTTTTTTGTATGCTTCAAAAGCTTCTTTTGGTCTATTCAATGCATAGTTAGCTAAACCTAATCTTGAATAGGCTTTTGAGTAGTTTGGATCAACTTTGATGGCAGCTTCGGCATCTGCAATAGCAGATTCATGATCTCTTGTTGAAGAGTGAGCAGCCGCTCTGTTGGATAAGTAGACAGCATTCTTTGGAGTTAATTCAATAGCATCAGTATATTTCTTGATGGCTTCAGCAAAATCTTTACGGGCCATAGCTTTATTACCTTCTAATTTTAATTCTTCAGCTTTTTTTAAAGTTTCGTCATCTGTTTCAACATGAACTGGAACTTTTTTAGCAGCAGAGTCACTTGATTGACCTTTTTTAAATTCTGCTAAAATTTCTTTCAAGCTTTTACCATTGTATTCTGAATCGACAGTTTTTTGATCTTGATCTTTATCAACTTCATAAGCATCAGCGATACAGTCAATGGCGACATCTATAGATTCGAGATAGTCTTCAGAGACTTCTTTGTTTGAGACGGAGCTCTTTAAGAAATTTATGATTTGGAGAGCGGTTTCTTTGCTTGACATATTGGTTAATTGGATTCACTTGATAATTATCAAACTGGGATTAGAAGTGATGGGATTAACCTTGATTATATTAATTGACGTGCTGTTTTCAACGTATACAAAAAAAAAAGCTAGAATATTCTCCGGTTTCTGTTAAGAGCACAGAAATCAACAATACTCGTGTTAATCTAATATACTAAAACTAAAGAGAGCTCTATCATCTATCGAATCGGGCTCAAAATATTCCGTTCTTTAATTATACGATGAGTGTATAGCTCATATTATGGGGGTGATGAATGAGAGCATCCAAGGTCCTATATGATCGATGCTTTTAACAGTTTAACTATAGCTTGAAATTTGATTAAAGCGCGTATATGGACCGCGACACTAAATACATTTTAAAGTTGTGTGATTCTTTACTATACTACATGTTAAAGACCTGTGATTAATAAAATATTTTCGTATCAAATTCATAAAATGCAACTATATAAATATCACTTAAGCTTGTTTACCGAATGATCTTTTCATGTTAGAGATGTTTTCTCTAGCAATGGTGAATGATGATTTAGAAAAGATATCATCGATTTCTTCCAAGGTTTTACCTTTAGTTTCTGGCATGAAGAAAACTTGATAG